GTCGAAAGTTATTGTCGAAAAACACTTTTCGTAAAACAGCTATTTTTGGAGTTTTTGCCCTCTGGAGGCTAAGCCGTTGACCTGAGGACAATATTGATAATGACCTTTTCAAAAGAAGAGTTCAAAAGCTATCGACTTGCTTTTCCATGCGTTTTTCTAGCTACCATAGTTCCTGAGAGAGCGGCATGTTTTCTGAAAAATATAATGACAATTGGCAAATTTTGACCTTTGATGACCTCTGGTGACCCCAATATTGCTCTAAGGTGAAAAATGACCGAAATACTTTCAAACGTACGTATTGAGAGCTATCGACTGCTTTTTACCGCGTCTTTCTAGCCCTCTTAGTTTTTGAGTTAGAGGTGGGTGGTAACATATGCCCCCCTCACTAGGGCGAAGTTGGCCGAGACCGCCACTGGGGCGCGGGTTAAAACCAAAACAGCTGCACAGCTTTCATGACAACTTATTGCTTCTACAGCCGAGTGTTACGATTGAAGACTACGTGCCTCGCTGTAGGGGGGGGGGACATAACGGGGAGGGCACCGGGGCACCGTGCCCCCTCCCCCTTTGATTTTGGCATTTTAACATTAGCCCTATGGGCGTTGCATGGAAAGAATGGGACCAAAAGTCGGCAGTGCCCCCCAGGCAGGCAGAAGGTGTTCCGCCGCTACTTGTACTTGTACTGATGGGGGGGGGGGGGGATGTTCACGTTCGCCAATCTGAATCGCCTTGATACGAATGAAGCTTCTCACCTGTCTGTTGCGGGGTTCTAAGGCTTGCACAAGACGTAAACTCGGCTCCGCAAGGCGCAAACCATAGATCTCTCAAGAGCGAAAATCGTGCAGTCCAAACTGCGCGATCACGAGCCAACCCGTTGCTCGGTTACTTTGTTTAATTTCTCTGTAAGAATCTTGGCTTTGTCGCTTGGTATATAGGGCCTTGCGCCGAGTCGCCAAATTTGAATTGAAATGCCGTCCCAGTCCCGACTGACTGACGAAAATAATACCCAAGTTGTCGGCAAAAGCTGGCTGCAGGCAATATTGGGCAATATAAGATACTTTATCAGGCTTGGTTACAGGTTTTAACGGCTAAAACTGAAATAATAAGCCGTTATATATAGCTTGATAAACAGTAATCTCAAGGTATATAAAAACACTAGGTAACGCCGAGAAATACCTTCAGCATGCGGGCAACGGGTTCAGGTCTTGACAACTGTTGCTAGCACAACTTGCAAGATACTTTCTCCCTAACTACATTATAGATTTTCATAAAAGTTTGTCTACAATCATCCTATGTGATTTCATAAATACATATTTTTTACTATCCTTATCTAAATTCGTCTTCGCCAGGAATTTTGTAATTATATAAAGAATCGCCATGCCTTCAGTTATTCTCAAATATATCGATACCTAGGCGTTGAAACTTATAAAATGTAGTATTTTTCGAAAGAAAATGAATTTCTAAATCCATCAAGTATAAATTTATTGGGAAATAACAACAGGGAGAGAAGGCACAGGTCTCCAAATGTCAACTGTGTGCTGAAGTTGGACGGGGGTAAGTTTGATGAGGCGCCTTTTACGAAAACGTGGACATTGGTAGGGTCAACTAAAAATTGAATTATAATGTATGTTTCGTCTGCTTTCGAACTGTGTTACCCTCATTGCTCTACAATTAATGCAAATGTGTGAATTTCAGTACTTTATGTGTCAGTGTCACCATGCAAAGTGTCACTGTGGTAAAGAGGTAGCTGAAAAATGAGACATTGGTAGCCCCAAACACTGATTGATCTATAATATATGGTAGATAAGTTTTCTATTGCACTGCCGGGTGAATCTTATCAATTAGTGCAAAATGGCTTATTATGCCCATCAATTCTGTTTCGAAATATAAACCGTACAAGCGGCAGTGCGCCATTTCCGTAACATCCCCTCCATTTTTGTCTCGTGACTTGTGGTGATGACCAATGCAATGACGAAGTTGTACTTAAAAGTGATTTAATTCGAGAAGAAAGGACAATGCAGGTAGCATAATGCAATATGTTTCCTTTATATGTTATTCTTTCCTACAAATGCCATCATTTTGCATTGTAACTATTGGAAGCATGCGATACTTAGCTGGGTTTAAAGTGTTCTACTTCGTAACATTGAAGCATAAGTTGCTGAAATTCACATGTTTGCATTAATTGTGGAGCAATGAGAGTTGTAAGGTTCGAAAGAGGATGAAATATGGATTATATTTCATGTCGTTGTTGACCCTACCAACGTCTGATTTTCGAATGAGGGAAGGTCGCGGAACTACCTACGGCTGTTTTCAAAAATAGGTCTCAATTGGTGGTTGCTCATTGCTCTTGATACAGCCTTCGAGTTCTCTGAATTAATTGTTGATGCCAGATCGGTATATGTCAAGTTTACGTCCTAAGCACATATCAATGATAATTGTTTCACATTCCTACGTATTTTGACGTGCTGTCTCCATAAATGGATACGATTCAGGAGCATTTCAAAGTGGTGAATTTGAATGCATACAACAGCTTTCCATGCAAGAAGACAAGTGCTTTTCGTGTATCCGTGCTTGTTTAAAGCGAAACAGCGGTTATACATCAAATCCAGTAAATGAGTAATCTTATCACAAAAGTGCTCCCGACACAATTTGCCGCGAAAATTTCATAAATGGCTGTCTGATTGCTGCCATATCGCTACCATATTACCCGCGATAGGGCTTTTTTCTTTTATTTGAAGGGTTTTAAATGTTATATATAGGCTTCGATTATTCCCTACATTTTGGGACGAGGGAGGAGACCCAGGTCTTGATTATCCAGTCCATTTCGCGCATCGGGAGCGCATGGTCCTAGCTAACCACTGGACTGTCAAATTCTGTCAAAATTCTGTCAAATAACTGTAATGCATGGACTGCGAAGCCTGCCTATGGCTTTTACCTTTAGAGGTCACCGAGAGCAATCTGTCCGATAATTCTATTTTACGGTATCGGGGGCCTCCTTCACATGGGCGTGGGCCATCGTGTCGTTCTAAAAATCGGGAAAGCTATTATCCTCGCTCGCTCGTCGCACTCGCCTGATCGATAATTTGTCGTGACTCGTGATTATCATAGGGGTATATATTTACAGCTCTGTCACCATACAAAGGCCCAAGGAAACTTCATGACCGATCACAAATCTTCCATCCTGTCTGGGAGCCGTTCGGCTTCCCGGCCGGTCCACCAATCCGCGTATCAGTCCCGCGCCGCACCGTTACAGAATGTCGCCTGACGGGCCTGTGTCGGTCCTGATCCGCTCCTCTCGACTCTGACCGTGAACTCGCTCCCCGGAGCCGAGTCAGTGAGTCATGGACTCGTGAGGACTCGCCGACCACGTCCAGTGGAAAGGGTGAGAGTGGTCCCGGCTTCCGGTGTGTTCGAAACGTGGGAAAACAATAAACATCATGTATCGACCACCGAAAACGTAGATCGGTCACACAGTCGACGGAAGGTTGCATGGGATCGAGCTTTGGATGGTTACCACGAACCGCCGACTTACTATCAGTCAATGTCATGGGCATGGCCTACCAAGCGAAGGCAGAGCAGTTACGAGCTATGAGTGGTGAATAAAACGTAGGTATGTTTTATTTACCAGGCTCCGTAAAATAATGTCGAGCTTTATACAAGAATTAATGGCATTATTGAACATACATTCATGTGGACTTCAGATGTTTTTGTGTCTAATTAGAAATATATTTATGGTTTGACATGATATGGTTTGATCGCTGAGGATCCAGGAAAACTCCAAGGGGAGGGTCATGAATCGAAGTGGTGCCCCTACCTATACCCAAAATTAAAAACTCAACGGATTTCGTCCACTTCATTTTGGTGGTGCCCCCATTTTCAGGTTTTTTTCTTTTTATTTTTTATTTTTAGTCAGTATCTTAACTCTTAGCCACAACCACATTTACCAATTGTAAGCAAGTATATATGAATGTGCTATGTGTATATATGTTATGGACGCTGAGTAGTGAGTAATTACCAGGAACGTTATCAGGTAAGCGAATCGTTGTCAGTCCGACGAACTTGACCCCGGCGTCTAAAGGGTCTGTCCTTGACACTTCAGGCTTGTCAGGGGTACCAAAGTCCTTCCAGGGACACCACAAACCTGGCAGGGGCACCTACGGCCTTGTAGGGGCGCCACAGGCCCGCCAGGGGCACCACAGGCCTGCCAGGAAGCAGGGGCACCACAGGTCTAGCAAGTATACACGACAGGCCTGTCAGGGGCACAACGGGCCTGTTGGGCCCATGAGCACCCCTAGGGGCAGGGGCACCACAGTCCTTCCAGGGGCACCGCAGGCCTGTGAGGGGCACCAGCGGCCTAGCAGGGGCACCAGTCAACACAGGCCTGCCAGGGGCACCACAGACCTGCCAGGGGCACCAGAGGCCTGCCAGGAGCACCACCGACCTCGCAGGGGTAACTTGGGCCTGTCAGGGGCACCACGGGCCTGTCGAGAGGCACTTCAGGCTTTTCAGGGGCACCATAGTCCTCTTCGGGCGCAGGGGTAGCAGGGGCCTAGCAAGGGCACCAGAGGCCTGCCAGGGGCACCACAGGCCTAGCAAGGGCACCACGGGCCTGTCATGGGCACCTCAGGCCTGTCAGGGCCCAGGGACACCACAGTCCTTCCAGGGGCACCAGAGGCTTAGCAAGGGCACCACAGGCCTGCCAGGGGCACTACAGGCCTAGCAAGGGCACCACTGGTCTATCAGGGGCACCACGAGCCTGTCATAGCCAGGCATCTCACTTCTCAGGCTTGTCAAGGCCCAGGGGCACCACAGGTCTGTGAGGGGCACCAGCGACCTAGCAGGGGCACCAGTCAACACAAGTCTGCCAGGGGCGCCACAGACCTTCCAGGGGCACCAGTCACCACAGACCTGCCAGGGGCACCAGAGGTCTGCCAGGGGCACCACCGGCCTCGCAGGGGCACCTTGGGCCTGTCAGGGGCACCACAGGCCTGCCAGGGGCACCACAGGCCTAGCAAGGCACCACTGGCCTGTCAGGGGCACCACGACCCTGTCATGACCGGGCACCTCAGGCTTGTCAGGGCCCAGGGGCACCACAGTCCTTCCAAGGGCATTAGTATTACAAGCCTGTCAGGGGCACCAGAGGCCTAGCAAGGGCACCACAGACCTGCCATGGACACCACAGGCCTGCCAGGGGCACCACCGGCCTTGCAGGGGCGCCTCAGGCCTGTCAGGGGCACCACGTGCCTGCCGGGGACACTTCAGGCTTGTCAGGGGCGTTACAGTCCTGTCAGGGCCCAGGGGCACCAGGCCCGTGGTGTCCCTGCTAGGCCTGTGGTGCCCCTGGCGGTCCTGTGGTGCCCCTGTCAGGACTGTGACCCCTGATAGGCCGGTGGTGCCCCTGGCAGGTCTTTGGGCCCCCGGGCCTCAAGGGGGGGGGGCCATGACCCATGTGACCCCCCCCTTGGATCCGCCCCTGCAAAGCGAATGTGCTCACTGCTACTGCCTACCGAATGCAATTATAATTTATCGTATTGAGCTTAGCCTATGGGGTGCCTGTTTTCCAAAGCATGGATGCTTTCATCACCATTAACATAGGTTTTGCATTGCAACTTTCACCGTGAGTGCGGTAATGCCCTATCATAAGGTCAAAGCCGACCGGGTTCAAGTGTCTTCGCGTTGGAGTTTTGATTTCTCCCAGTTCGCCCGTACCACCAGGCATACCGTGACAGTGACCCTAAATACCCACAGGCTAACCCCGAGACAAGGCACGTCGGACACCAGCCTCGTTGACAAGATAAATGTTAGCGGTATAACGAAAAGTAAGCCGTAATGACGGGAAGAAAAGCTGCGATTCCGCTTGGTTCCACCCGCTCAAACCTTACCATGCATAACGGTGATTACGATTGAGGTAACTACGAGATCATATGAGAGAGGTTGCAAGATGCAGATACACCATCCCACGCCCAGCCGCCTCAGACGTCCTTGTGAACAGTGCAGATTGCAGCCCGGCCGACGGCCTTGAGACACACCACTAAAGGACGTCTGTGCGAACGGGCTCCCAGTGGCTGATATAGCGGTCCGATAGCGCCGCCATGATGCCTCTGTCACCGACAGCCTCTTCAGAGCTGCGGCTCAACATGACAGGTCGGTGCTCACGGTACAGGGATACATCCTGCTCGAGGGATAAACTGCACGCCGAGCCGAGTCGCAGGAACAACAGATAGACCGCCGAGGATCAATGTTTCACAGAAATTACTGGTGTGAATCTTGGCCCTCTGAGATGACGTGCCGGCTGGACACACGAAATGGCTTCTTTTGATGGATGTATTGCAGCTACACTTTTCACGAGATGCCGTGACCGCTGCCCGTCCTATGATCTCCAGACCAGACGACCGGCGGCGAAACCGCACTCAGGTATGAATTGGCTTTCTGAAAAGTCACTGAACCGTGCAGCAAGCCCGCTATCCGTGCCCAACAGTGCGTATCGTCCTGTTTCGCCACATAAAGACCGTGTGCAACACCACTATCGCCATTACGACTGTTTGCGTTGGGCAAAGCTCACTCAGCTATGCATACAGGTCATTTCCCGCCCCATGCAACAGCGAGAGTTAACATCCGGACCCCCTCCAAACAATCAGCGGAGGCGAGCCGAACTCAATTTATTGTAATGCCAAACCATCGGGAGTCGGACCAGTGAGGAGACGCATGAAAGGGCGCCGGTGGCGTCGGTGGCGCCGGCCAGCTGCCAGCACGCGCCGGCCGCGGACAGTCGCTCGCTCGCCTCACAGACACACAGACAGACAGACAGACGGACAGCCAGGCAGACACGGAATGAACGGCCGGCCGGCGGCGCGGCGCCTATCAACTGCCAACCGCGCCGACAGATAAATCACGCGCGCATACGGGCTCGCGCATGAGCGCGCGAGCCGACCCGAGACAGGAGAGCAGTCTCGGGTACATCACAACGAGCCCCGCCGCCGCGAGCGCACCTAAGGCGCGTCGCTACCGCCGGGTCGCGCGCGAGCAATCAAATTAACCTGATTCGCTGCCACGTAAATGTCACATAGATAAAACACACGCACACACTCGGGTCGTATTTCGCGGCGCCGGCGAGCAGAGCACATCACCGCTCGCCGCTGGCCCGGTCTGACCCATCCCGCGACCCAGACACCCGTCCCCGTGCACACCCAGCCACACACCGACACACGCGCAGAGATGCAGATCAGTCGGCCGTCCGACTCGCTCGGTGCTGGCGGCAGACTGTGCTCCCCCCGCGGCGCGCAGCTCGGGCCGCCGCGCCGGCCTCTACTCGCGCTCGGAAGCCGCTCCGACTCGCTAGCCCACACCCTAGTGTGTATCTTCACTGTGAACTGGCGGTGCACATCACGGGCCCGGCCCAGCGCGCGCCAAACATAAACGAGGTTAAAATGTCTTCTAGATCTATCCGAGCGGAGCCCGCTCACATCAACTCGTCATCTCCCTCTTGGCTGAAAATGGAACACGGGCCAGTCAGAGCAGATTCAGAGCCAAAGAGGTCACAGGCTGCGTCAAAGGTCAGAAAAAATTGTTACCGTGTTCTTCACAATCCAAGTGACATATTCGACAGTTTTTTTTAACGCGATTATTTCATGACTAAACAAGTGAATATATAAAAGCGTAAATAAATCTGGATCTTTTTCTAGACAATTCCACGACCTAACTTTACGAGAAGATAGTGCTGACGTCTATAAATTTGCAAATAAACATAAACACAGTGAATAACAAGCAGACACGAAGTGCAGTCGTTCCAGGGTCGCGGCACCGTCCGTACCCAGTTCTGTCATACCGCCGGAGCGGATCACGGTGGGACCACCCGGCCGCCGACTCGTGTATATTATGGCGAGACGACGCGATTTATGACCTCGTCTCCCCTGACCTTCTCGATTGATTCATTCACGAGACGGCCCGAACGGCCCCTCGCTCTCAGTTTCCGGTAGAGGTTCCACGGAAGTGAAGACGCATGCATGACGTGTGACCGTTATAGACTGCCCGGAGGTGAATGCATCTCTTGAAAAGCATGGGGTAATTGGAAGCTACATATAAATTAACAGCCGTGCAGAAAATTAGCAAGTCCAGTAAGCAACATTTTCGGGCAATTATAACCCATGTCGAGCTGATTTATGTCGGACCTATCCCTGGCAGGGAGTAACTAACTATATGTATGTTTGCATGCACTGGCAATACTTGCCCCGTTCGTGCCTGAGACTCAGCAGCATCGACCTAACCCTAACCTCCTTACTTCCGTAAGAAGTAAAATCCGATCATACCTTTCACCTGATATTGACATCTGTGCTCAATGCAGCGGACATCAGTGACCGTGCGAATAATTTTGTAGCATGCCTTAACTCGCGAGTTGCTGGGGGGGGGGGGGGGGGCGTTAAACGCCCCCACTTTTTTTCGCCGCGCCATAGCATAAAAACGGCGCTTTGGGTACCTGTAGGGAATTGATTGAAGTTTGTGACATAGTTTCAAAATACTCGGTCGGAGTAAACGCCATTAGACTGCCAATACCATGAACAATCAAATGGCTATCTTCAATTAATATTGATTATCGTTCCGCATTTCCCAAAATCTTGAGCTGAATCTTGGCAATTTCTCGTGACTACTTCACGACTATGATACATGCATTTCTTAAATTGAACTTTTTGAGCCAAACACGTACACATATGATAAAATGAATGTCACCATCGTGTTCTACGCCCAAAATTACACATAACACATGTGTCACAGGCTGCGAATATCAGTTTTGATTTTCGGGGATATGTGCCTACCCAGTTGACCTGACCTTGACTCTCACCTATGCTTGACTGAACCCTACATGGAGCTGACACTAGGCCTTATATGAAGGATTGTGCACCGTTCTGACAGAGTTTATGACGAGAGGCGCCCATTGCGAAGTCCTGAAGTCCATGCTACTGAAAGCCCGATTTCAGGTGTTTGACCTGACCTTGACCCGACCTGTGACCTCAAAATTCAACTTTAAAGTACTCATCTGAAGCGTCTCGTCGCTTTCTTTCGTTTGCCGCCTCGTGCGTTTCGCTGTGCCTATTGGTTCTCGAGTTATCGGCTGGGGGCGCTTAATGCCCCCCCCCCCCCAAGCAAACGGCGGGTGGCGAAATACCCCAGCAACTGCCGGGTTAAAATCCGTTAATATCAACATGTGCGATGGCTAATGCCTTCGTTTTACCATTCACCACTAATACATGTCGGCAGCTGATGCCTCACAAATTACAACTTCGATCTTACATGACTGCCCGACCGGTCTGCAGCTCCGCACCTGCGTGCGGCCATCCCACCGCGCTGTACTCACTTCCTGTAGTTGTCGAGGTTGGGCGGCTGCGGCCGGGCCGCGGCGCCGGCTCGCGGCAGCACGGCCGCCGCGGCTCCCTCCTCTGACGGCTCGGCGTCCATCTCCTGCCCGGCGCCGGCCGACGGCGGAGTGTAGTTGAGGAAGTCCCAGATCAGTATGCTGTCGTCGTGCGAGCTACTGACGATCTGGAACTCGTCAAACTGCAGCCGGAACACGCGACCCGTGTGCTCCTGAGGACACATACGGGTGGTGTTAGAACAGTTGATCGGGTCACAGTCACGCACTGATGTCGAATATTGACGTTGGTGGTGGCAACATTTTGTTTATGCTAACAAACTGCTATCCTCAGAGTACAACAGAACAAAGAGCCGCTCTGCAGCGCCTCCCTGGTTCCGCCGCGCCTGCCCCCTCCCTGCCGCGCTTCTCTCTTCCCAGCAGCCGGCGTTCCCCGTCCTCTTCTGTCCGGAGCTTACCACCAGAGTGTGCAGAACCAGAGTCCACTGGTGAGGAGCCCCTGGTCCCTGTATCTCCTCCCCTCCCCCGTATCGCCTCCATCCTCCCCGCTATGAGCAACTTACCACCAGAGTGCGCAGACACAGAGAGCCCACTGGTGATCGCGGGTTCAGCGCCGCCTGCAGGTCCCACACCTTGATCTTCCTGCAGAGGTACGGGGAGGGACAGATGCGTCAGAGAATGGGCACGGGGCGAGGCAGAACGGATGAGGTGAGCGACACACGTAGCGAAAGAGACGGATGGTTTAGAGGAATCAATGTGAAATTCTCTAAATCACGAACAACAAAAAGACAAAGCTTGCAAAAGTAAACAGCCGATCGGGGCAATGTCTGCGTATCTCACCCGTCATAGGCGCCGCTGACAATCCGTTTGGAGTCGAACCGGATACAGCGCACCAGCTCGTCATGTCCCTCCAGCACACGCAGGCAGTCGCCGAACTCAATGTCCCAGAGTCTGACAGAGCGGCAGGAAGGGCGGTTAACATCATGTAGCACATCATGGACAAGAGAACTTTCAACCTTAGTCGGCCCGCGTCGGAAGAGGTATACGCTGTGAATGAATCAACCCGCTCTCTTTCAAAGAATCTCTTTGTCACCAAACACAATCGACTGACATCAAAACTTCAAAAGATATCTATCTTTCTCTCAGCTCCCCTGCTGCAGCATTGCCTGTGCTGCAATTTTAAGTAGGTGGCGTTGGCAAGCATCCAACCCCAAACCAGTCATATCATCCCCAGCTTTCCCTGAGCTCGTCGCCATCCCTCAGTCCTCCCCAGCCGGTCCTCAGCGTGCCATGCAGACGCCCACCGACCTGATGGTGTTGTCGGAGCTGCCGCTGACCACCAGTCGGTCCCGGTACTGCAGGCACGCGATGCCCCTCTTGTGGCCCGACAGCGTCCGCACAAACTCACACGTGGACGTGTTCCATACCTGGGACGGAGCAGATAGATGAGTGACGAACAGGCGGGTATACTTACACAGCTGTGTGAGAGCGGGGATGACAGATCAGTGTCAGGCGCAGTCTGAGTTCAGCCCTTGGCTGAATTCGTGTCGGCGACATAACGAGCATTTTAGCTAGCGTCGGACGAAATGTTTCAAAAGACACCCTGCATAACACTGCTGATGACGGTTGTAAGTCATCAAATTATAAGCCGTCATTAAAAATACAAGCCATCATCAAAACGATGGGTCCATATTTCAGCACCATAAATCATGCCCTATTTCACTTCCATCAGTAACTTGTGTGCTCATTCTGCCTGGAATATGGTCGCGGGAAGTTTCTGATGAAGTGCCCTCTTGTCCCCGCTGCCTTCCGCCGGGACCATTTGCTACTTTTACAGCCGCCTGGAGGGCCATCTGTGTTCGGAGCACTCGAGCCGCCATCGACCAAACGGAGCTGAGCAGTGTGACACGCGGCGGAGCGCGGCGCGGGGGCGACAGACAGCGGAGATCGCCGCAGAGCGGGGAGAATACACGGGGTGTCAATGTCAGGGTTATGGAGCTAGCCGGAGACCAATGTCAGCTTTGACAGGAACAGGTCAAGACAAAATACAGCTCTACTGATTGCAACATGATTATAGTTCAATCCATCATGACAATAATTTTGTACAGAAGGAATGGGGAAAAATGAAATGTGATATATGAAGCTATCATTGAACACGAAACAAACAAGAAACAGCGTATTAATAAATTCCCACACATCTTAGCACACACGCATCCCTTCCTCTCCCAGCTCTCTCCCTCCCCTCTCCCGTCCTGACCTTGATGGTACGGTCTCCCGACGCGCTGACGATGTACTTTTCGTCAAAGTCGACCACGTTGACGGCCGCTCGGTGTCCGACCAGCACGCGGTGCAGGTTGATCTCGGTCGGCGATACCATGTCCCATACGGCGATCGAGCGGTCCTGCAGGGTCATACAGAGGTCAGTGGTTACAGATCAGTGACAGTCAGTGCGCCTAAGGTCATAGGTCGTCGTCAAAAGTGGGCATCTGTGGCAAAGTTGTGTGCGAGACGGAAAAAAGACAGTGGTAATAACAAGCAACCCGAATTCATGTTCTGAAATCTCGCTCAAATTCAGGTTTGGCAAGGATGACAGAGGTCAACTCATAAGCAAAGGCAAAACAGACCGAGGTCGCACATTGTTTTCTCGTACGTAACGAATGTTTTCTCGCAACGAAAGAAGTACAATAACAAAAAATGTCATTTCAGTCCGGTGTCCGCACTCAAGAGGCCCACTTATCCTGCACGCCATCTACCAGCACTGCCTCAAACCACGAGTTGCAGAAGCCACCACAATCCCCGCCCGGACGGAATGATGCAACTTTCTCCCGCACGCCCCCTGCCACCGACGGGGCCGCGCAGTTGGCACGTCACCTCTCGCCAGCTGACCGAACCGATCAGCCCCGCACGCACAGCCGTCAGCAGTCGGAAATGTTCCTCGCACACCCCGAAACCAGTCCTGAGTGTTGTGTTTCTCGGCGGGTCAGCCACTCGGATATTACGATACATATTGAACGGGCGAACGGCTGTTTTCCGGGACACACGTGTTGGCAGGGAAATGTAGGAATTCAAAGGAGCGGGTGTGAAGTGTCGAGTGGCCGCAGAATGGTGATGCAAATTAGAGACCCACTGAACTGCAGATGGGGCACCCGGCACAGTCACACCCGGAAAGACTGCAGACGGGGGCTTATCAGTTTGTCGAGGAAATGTAGGGCTAGTTTATGGCCACGCAGGGTCTACAGAAGTAAGAACGTCAGACCTTGTTGGTGATGTTAGAAGATGTTATTTAAATGCCGAAATGGGCACTATGGTAGTAGGTAGTGATGGAGGCGTTCAGCAATGGAGCGATTGATGTGAAGAGAGATTTAGCACCTCATATTATGAAATATTCGGTCATGACTTTCCACACGATACTGTCTCTGATACCTACCAATATTGTCTGTCATGATACGATGCCTAGCAGACGACGCCGGACGCCATCTCCTAATTTCTATGCATGCGTGTAAAGCATGAGCGTCGAGCACATGTGCAGTAACAGCTGCTAGTTACGGAAATCCCTCGACTATCCGTCCGTTTCATAGACATAAGCTAGCCGACAATGGTGACACATTCAATTCAGACAACTCATGTTTATCATGAATGCAAGGGACTGGTTTTGGTTCAAACTTCAACACCCACCCAAACAGTTATTGAAGCTAAGCACGTAGCTGAAGCAGGTATGACTATCACATTGTGATTAGAATTTAGAACTACAGCTGGGTGTTCCTTGTGCATAGAACATCCAACCAAACTTCCCCTGGATTACGGTACATAGTAACGCCTTAGCGCCTCTGACCGCCGTGACGGACGGACACAACACAAACAAACATTTCAGTGACGCACAGCCTAACTGGATGAGCTCATAGCAAGTGGAACAAAGGAACAGTCAACCCTCTCCATCGTAAACAATTGACGAGTACCGGTACATCAACTAACACTTGAGACGGTGTCTACTTGAGAGCAGACGCTCGAATCCGCATCCCACACACACTTGAACTGATGACCCATTACGTACTCTGTTCCCACATCTCTGCAAGAGGCTACAAACTTATCTATGAGAATCTCATCAAACTCAACACAGCCCCACGGTAACGCCAATATTTCAGTCAATCTTCATAGTCCATGCGCAGTACATGGAAAGTAACCCATCCTACTCCCCACTCACATTCTATTAAATAAACCAGCTCATCTCACATAGTTACATGTTCTCTTACATCCCCACTCATCACTCACCTTTCCACCAACGCCATCATCGCACCCGTACCCTCCCCTCCCCTCCCTCCCTGCGACTCACCTTTGAGCAGGTGACCATCATGCCGTGAGCGAAGCGCAGATGCAGCACTGCCTCGCAGTGGTGGATGAGTGTGTTGACCAGCTCTCCCGTACCCACGTCCCAGACACGGACCGTGGCGTCGGACGAGCCCGAGATGATCACCTTGTCATCGTATTGGAGGCACAGCACCGAGCCAGTATGGCCGGTGAGCACTTGCTGTGGAGCGGCGCGGGGCCACGGTCAGTGGGGTGGGGAGGAGCGGGCCGTATAGAAGGTGGGGAGGGGAAGAGGCTGAACGTGGGAAGCAGGGGCGGTGCAGGGCTAGGTGAGCAATTGCACCGCCGGCACGGACTGGGTGGGGACTGGGGAGCTCGGGTACAGGTGGCTGGTCTCAAATCACCGCTCACAAACGACAGACGACGCTCGGAATATTCCAAGTCATGGCATTGATATCCGAGCTGGGCAAACACAAGTGTCAGGCATTCTCCATACACACGTGTAGTAGACCATGGTAGGGCCGGACTGACAAGACATTTAGCCAGACCGTTGGATTTGGAATGATTCTAATGTTACACTTCACAAACAAAGAACGACGAATAGTGAAACGATCAAGACAGTGACAAAGGACGCTCGTAGGGTAAGGGCGGGTAAGAGTACGCGGGCGATAAGAGTACGCATCAGCTGTTTCGGTTGCTTAGCAACGCGGGTTCGTCGAGTTCATGAAGTGACATGAAGCCGCCAGTGCGTGCTTGTCACCAACGGAACGTGGGCGTTGAGCGGCGACGCTGTTGAGTTTAAGGCGATGAATATTATTTTTGAGCGTTATGATATTATTATGGTATAGTACAATAATTTTGATACTTGGCAGTTGAGATAAGGTACATTTCCGTGATTGTTGTGGGAAACTTGTGAGGTTTTCTGGGGAAATACTGTGCGGTGCAATATTCTGTTTGCGAAGTTTTGCACAACGTTTCGGGGCTGTTTTGTGCGCGAATTGCATGTACGGTAAGAGCACGCACTGTTCAGGAGGGTAAGAGTACGCAGAATTATACATTAAATCGAATAGACAGAAATATAAAGTTATTAATCTATCGCTCAATGACGTTTGTTTTGTAGGTATATCATCAATGGAGCACTGTGAATTGCAGATGCGTACCCGAAATTCTTCCAAATACGAGTTATTCTCCCTTTTGATTGTGCATTTTTTAAAGAAACACACGACATGATTATTTCCTGATTTATAGACTTGAAAGATTTATTTTATGTTTTTCTTTTTGGATACTCGAATTAACTTAAATGCCTTCTGAGTTTGAAGTTAAGCATTTTGACAGTACAAGCTGCATAGGTGTGTGTTCATATGCTTGCGTACTCCACCCGCCTGGCGTGCGTACTCTTACACACCCCATATGGTAAGAGTACGCAACTGCAGCGGTTCAGAAAATGTCAGTTTTAGACCACTTCCATTTACGCTGAAGGATCGTTGCCCCATGGGTTGATGGCTAATTCAATGAACTTTAATATTCCCTATTTGCGATTTCTTTCTTTCAAATATTAAACAAATGAGAGCAAGAAATCCACTAAGTGCGTACTCTTATACGACTTCACCCTATACCATGAATTGGTCATCTACCGCAAACTAGAACTAGGATCAGGAAATATATCAAGAAGTGGTCGACTTTAACAAAGATCCCGGAAACGACTCAAGAATCAATACCAGGTACTCCAGTTAGTTCCTGACGTTTCGCGAGAAATCTCTAATGGCCTTTACCTGTAACCGGCAGCTTCCGGCGCTGATTTGAATAGTCAAAGGTCGGCCAGAGCCGCGCTGGGCTCCAGAGACCGGGTCGGAACCGGATGCCGCACAGGGACGGAGACACCCACCTTTGTGCACTGGAGCGAGTTCCTGTCCCACATCTTGATGGTGTTGTCGCGCAGGCCGGAGACGATCTTTTTGTCGTCATACTGCAGACAGTAGACGCCCTTGGAGGTCTCCGAACGGCAGTTTATCCTCTGTAGGTTGTGCTTGCCCGTTCGCCAGTTGTTTTCTATGCTCTGGAAACGACGATGACGGATGTCAGTTACTGTGTGGGTTGATGTGGGTGCAGGATTTCTCCTGATATTTGTTATGACATGAAATGAAAACCAACACTAAGAAACGAACTGTAAACGACAGCCAGCCCTGAATGTGATGCATCAGCAGTACCTGTAACTCAGAAGATATCGTTCTGATGAAATGCTCAACTGCTTGGAAGACTAAATTAATTCTTTTTGTTTGAAGCAAGGGTGAAGACTAAAACATGTTTCGAACAGAGTCTGGAAAACATCCTGTTGAGCGACCAAAAATGTTCAATTGGCGTATATTAGCAGAAGGCGATATAGCAAAAAAGGACACCTCGAGGTACGAGTTCATAACGTCTAGTAGCCACTGGCTACCGGCCAATAAAACAACCATAGCAAGCCCAGGAAGCCAGACATTGCCGCGGTGTACCAGCTACGGGCTAAAGGAAATCAGAAATGATCATGACAAAAAAAAAAAAAAACGCATCCGGCAGCATACTGGCCAGTGACGACACTGGTACTGATTAGCACTAACAATAATTATTACATGGCTCCTGTGTTAATTTGGCATGAGATATTTTTTACTATTGCCCGGCATCAGGTTACTGACCTTTCAGTGTCAGGTTACTGACCTTTCTGAAGGTGAGAAGCGGTTGCCATGTCAACGGTCAATAGTAAGTTGCTCGCGCAGTGGTGTTTGAACAAAAATTCAAATGTCGTAATTTTATCGTCGTTTTCTCAGACTGTTCAGTTTGATTTCGTGATTGGCTAGTCAATTCATCAAGAACTGGGCCGTCATTTGAACATGTCCGTTCAAATACCCCGATTTAATTTGTTGGAGCCGCATTAATTGGATGAGCTATTTTCATCGCGCAGGGCTCAGGGCACTAAAAAGGTGATTAAATCAGCAGGAGACGTCTTCATTGAGTTCTTGCAAGTAAAAGGCATATCTGTTGAAAGCTGCATGCACAGCAACGATGTCCTGGACAACGCTGTGAAGGAGTTCTTCATTACTGTAAAACGCAAGGACGGTGAACGCTACAAATCGAAGAGTCTCCACACTTTCAAGTACGGCGTGAAACAGTACCTGTTGACGTCGGTGGGAAAGGATCTACAGCATCTACAGCAAGGACCACAGCATCTACATCAGTGGAGCCTCAGACCGGCGGCGGCCAGCTCTTCACAGGCTGCATCTTCAACTTTAACATGTAAAGCAACTAAGTGTGTGCCGTAGACATGTGACGTGGCTATGATTGTATATCCAATACATTCAATTGTACCATGATATTTGTGTTTGGATATTTTTTTATTACGGGATGAAGGAGTACTAAGTAAAGATTCCGAGAGTTGGCCATGTAATAAAACGAATACTGCATGGGGGAGCGGGCAATAGCAAAAATATTGCCCTCTGTAACGTCACTGTCGCCCTCGGGTGAAGACCTCCACAAGTGCTATTGCCCTCGGCTTCGCCTCGGGCAATAGCACTTGTTTCGGTCTTCACCCTCGGGCGACAGTGACGTCACATCGGGCAATATTTTTTGCTATTGCCCGCTCCCCCATGCAGTATTCGTATAATTCCTTTGTGTAAGTTATCCCAAACATTTTGTTGCTTCATACTGCTTAGTGCTTCGTATATAATATCGTTATTACCAGCTAGCAAGCAGTGAATTATTTCAACAGATGACGGTGCCAATCCGTAATGGTACTACGCAAGTGCCACCAATGAGCCCTCGGTCCCCAGATGCCTGCCCCTCTTCTGCCCGTGGCCTGTCCCTGTCCTGCCGGCGTCCTCTCTCCCTATCACTCTCCTGCCGGCGTCCTCTCTCCCCACAGAGTCCCCTGACCCGTCCACGCGACATGTGCCCAGTCCCGGCGTGACCGTCCACCCGAGCCGTCAGGCACTCAGCCGACACCAGAGCACTACACCCGTTAGCCCAGCGAACTCCCCTGGCAGCTCCTTACTCCGCGTACTGGAGCCAGTCGGTGAGACATGACCGCAAGTGGCGCGTTATATAACGGATAGTAATTGTTAGGTAAGGTGGATAACGCGAGGTGCTCTGTAAATTATAGGGCGGTGATTGCAGAAGAGCAGCATCCGAGCGAGCAACGCACCTTCAGGGAAAACTACCTTCAGGTGGAAAGTTGGCTATAAATCGACATTTGACCGTAATTCATTCAGTATTATATTTTTCACTTCTATTACATAGTCAGCGTACCTGGATTAAATAACAATTTGTCTCGCGGCACCGGTAAGATAATTTCGACATTCTGAGTAATTGATACCAGTATAACATCATCGGAAAGACCAAATGAGCCAGAACATCGCAGAGAGCTATTGCGGAGCGGAGTCAATTTTCACCCCGGCGTCCGCAATTAGAGCTAATGACGCGTCAAATGGGGAACTCACCTCGATATCCTTGATTATTTTCGGGTAGAGTTTACGGTATTTTTGGTGGTCAGGTAGCGCTTGGCCTGGTTTCGGCTTCCCTAGGTATTGGCCCCTGAAATAGAATGGATGGGGATGAACGACGGCCATTAGCGGCGGGCGAGTCCACGTTTCTCGCAGGTCCTCGGCAGATCCGCCCAGCACATGAGACAAGGCATAGGTCCGGGGGTGTTCGACCTCGGTCAAAACATCGTGTCTGGTAACGTGATTGCTCGACACATTGGAAGGAGGCAGACACGATGCAAAACGGTACCTGGAATCAGCTGAGGGCTGGCGCAGACAAAATAACACTGACACTGCCAGAAAGGAACAAAACACCGGCAGCTAGGCCACCAGTTAGCTACTAAAAAACTTTGTGATTGGTCATAGCTTAGACGAACTTACACGTCAGCAACATACCACTTACTCATAATAAACATTGGAACAGCAGGTCGCAAACAATGCCAACATCGCACTATCTAACAAAATATCGCGCTTCATTGAACACTGAACAGTACGCGACTAACACGACCACACATTATCACCAACTAAAATCCTAACGAATAGTGTTTGTCTATTTCAAACAGCCTGCGGTTACCATTAAACTCGCATTCCCTGATACTCAGCAGGCCCCAGCTGCGCCATACGTACCATCCTCGCCGCTCGGCCAGTCCCCTCCAGAGCGGGTCGGTGCGCACCTTCTTCTCGATCAGCTTCTTCCACAGCATGCCGTCGCTGATGACGCGCTTCCACTCTTTGCAGACCAGCTCGGCGGCGCACAGCGAACGGTCGTCCAGGTACGAGAGGATGTTCTCCGCCACATGGTCCAGGCCTTTGTCTGCCGGGCCGCAGGGATGGGTGGGGGTCAGAGATGGGCAGTGGGCACAGCAGCCACTCCGTGTCTATTTTAGGGTGTGATTCATACAAGGTGATGATGGGATTTTAGGGCGCCCGAATACATGTGACACAATGAATACTACGACTCAATGTGACGAAGGAACACAAAATATGGAGCTACGTGTCGTGACAGACCGGTTAACATAAATAAAAAAAAACGAAAAAATGACTTGACAAAATTAATTGGCAAGTAGCGGCAAAAGCAAGAGAGTATGCATCTAGGCCGGTTTTAAATCACCGGTCGTGTAAGTTGCTGAGACCACCACATGGCACAATGCCCCACATCCACCCCATCAGTCACAATAACCTGTCACACAGGTTGACAGGCACAGCCAGCGAGCGAGCACCATCGATTAGCAGCCAGCGAACAGCGCTAAAAACCAGGCCATTGCGGATGTCGACACTACAACTCTGGCCGGAGCTGGTCGGGTGGCGTCCGTGTACCACACCGAGCCGCCGTACTACTCGACGCTTCACGGGCAGAATCGTAATCAGAGCTGGTGAAACGGTCAGTGATTGCGTCACGGCGTCGATCACCGCCGGTCGGCCCGCCGCCCGCGCGCCGCCCGGCCGCCGCCGCTCGGCAGCGAGAGACGGTCAGCCGGCCGGGACGGCCACGGCTCGGCCGTGCCATCCAACCCATTGTCTGTCCCTGCAGTTCGAGCCGCACCACCATTAACAGACGGCGGCCGCAGAGAAAGTAAAGTCGAGTTTGTCTCAGCGGGCAGGATAGGAGCCTGTGTAAACAGTGTCATGTCGCGACCAGCGGGCGCCGACGGTCGCCCCACTGACCGCACCGCTCCGAGCTGCTGCTGGAAACGTACCAGCAGACACGGACCCAATGGATGAGCTGCCTGCCCTCCACCCGACCGGATAAAGAACAGAAAATACACACCGACATTAGCTGACGAAAACCGAGAGAAAAGACGGAGCAAAAAAGGAGCGCATTACTGTCGGGACCGGCCGACAAAGACAGATATGACACCCTGACCGACCGGAACAAAGACTCCGAACGCACCGATACTGACAAAGACGGGCGGTGGATACAGACCGACACATAGATACAATAACGAGACTTGGATCGATGGAGACACACCGACAGACACACGGCAGGGGACAATACCGTTACAGTTCACCGGCGGCCGGCCGAGCCAGCGCGGCCCGGCGGCCGGCGTGACTCCCAAATTACACGGCGTCCGCCCCCGCCGGGCGCGATCCGACCGACCAACCAGCGGACCCGGGACCAGTGGAGGCCGAGTCACGGCGGACCCGGGACCAGGGGAGGCCGAGTCACGGCGGACCCGGGGACCAGTGGAGGCCGATCCACGGCGAACCCGGGGACCAGGGTAGGCCGAGTCACGCCGCACAGAGCCGTGTAACGCTACCCACTGGCCGTGCCACGGGGCACGGTACGCCACCGCAACACCGCGGGACGGGGAGCACGGCCGTCACCGCGGGACGGGGAGCACGGCCGTCACCACCGGACGGGTCAGCAGGAGGAGGGAGCACGCCCACCGATCTGATCGACTGGTTAGGATATCCGACGGCGTTGGATCGTATTGTCATGGGCTTGTCGGGAAACCAAGGAAACAATGAGGTCCTATTACTCAACAACATACGAGGAAGGGATAAAACTACCAGCCAATTGTGCACAGTGCGCTGTTTACGTTTTAAGTGACAACTACATATAACACTGATTCTAGAGTCAGCCTAATTCGCAATGGGGATTCAGGAAAATTAAATTATTTCCAACTACTATACGAGCAATGTGTGACTTATCGGTCACGCAAAACCACATTGCGTTCCATCTGATTCAGTGAAGCACTGAAATAATTCATACTTTGGAACTACATAGATCGGTGCAAATGTTTGTTCCGTCGTAATTCCATTGCAAGTCGCTGTATCGAAAAAAGACCACATAAAAGGAGGACGTATCTATCGGAGGTGCATGAGAGGTGTAGCCCAACCCAAGCTTCAATCGAAATGCAGGCGTAGTGACAACACATGTCACGAATGATAAACCACACACACACAGAAAGTGACCCACCATGAGTGCCATCCACTACTCATATCCACGCAAGAACATAAGCTCGAATTCAATAATAATTAATTTTTTTCGCTTATGGGGCTAAATGTCACGCTAAAGAAAGTCATTTTACGCCCAACTAATGATGAACAACAAGGGTTGCAAATGCATGGTCGTGCCGCAGGTCATTGTTGTAAGGCATAAGGTCGTGAGATGAATGAAAAGAAAAAAAAACATCATTCACGGCAAATCATCGCCTCGTCCTTTGACATTGGTCGCATGTTAAGAGGTAAAACGGCAAAGTCCTCCGTAGGCTGCGTGAACAATACACCTGAATCAGAATTGTAGTAATTTTCATTCAGAAAATCTCCCCTTTGTTTTCTACCGTATTTTTCATCTCAAACGATCGTACAGTCTGTCTTAAAAGTACCGCGCAAAGTGACGGTGGATCCATCATGCCTGACCGAGGAAGGGCCTACTAAATTTGAGTCACCGAAGCAATTCACATCCTCGTCCATTCTCTGGGTCAATTGGTTCGGTGACTTTCAAATTATAGCAGGCCCTACCTCAGTCAGGCTTGATGGATCCACCGGCACTTTGCGCGGTACTTTTAAGACAGACTGTACACTGTACAGTGTACAGGCTATATTGGCGAGTGACTGAATTAGACAAACGTGAAATGCTGTCTACAATACAGATAATTTTCAGGTTCGTGCGGTGTCTGCACAACACGAGAAAGCCCAAATAAACTGGCCCTAACAGGTATTTAAAAAGGCAGCACGAGCATCACATTTAACGACACACATAGCGAAATACTAACAAATGCAGAAAACATACAGGGTACAGACTGTAACATTCATACACAGTTTCATCCTCATCGAACCCTTCCCTTATCCTCCGGGGTGTTGGGCAAGGAAACCCAACAAACAGGTGAGTTTGTACAGACGAGTTCGTCGGTCAGTCGACCCAACAAACAGGTGAGTTTGTACGGACGAGTTCGCCGGTCAGTGGACCCAACAAACAGGTGAGTTTGTACAGACGAGTTCGCCGGTCAGTGGACCCAACAAACAGGTGAGTTTGTACGGACGAGTTCGCCGGTCAGTGGACCCAACAAACAGGTGAGTTTGTACGGACGAGTTCGCCGGTCAGCGGATCGCCAATCAGCTCCACAGTCCAAACGTAAGCACCTTGCGCCATCCTGTGCCCATCTATCCACTCACCTGGTAGTAATGAGATGAAGTCGCGCTGCAGCATGGGCTTGAGGAAGGTGTCGATGTTGTTGTGCTGGTAGTGGCACATTTGTGAGAGCAGGTACTCGACAAACTCCACCTGATCCTGTTCGCTCCATTTCTCAAAGTACTTGAGACAGGCGTCGCGTTCAGTCAGGTACTGTGGTGTGGGGTCGCGGCGCGGCGGGTCCAGGCCCACCGCTGTCATAACCAGCTGAAAACGAGCGGCACACAGTGTCACACAGCGCCGAACGCAGGCCTGAGGGATGGAGGATCGACAGAACACTACTGGAGAAAACACTCCATCGATGGACAGCAAACATCCAACTGGTGTAGGACCACACTTCTAACTAATGGCAGAAAACATCTCACTGTGGATCAGAAACTCCAACAGCAATAAGGGTAAGTAGTTAGCAGCACTTCACCAATGAAGGTGAGAAAGTACTACATCAGGTAATTGTGAGAAATCACTGCATCAGTGAATAGTGAAGGTGAGAAACCACTGGCCAGTAAAGGTGAGCATACACTGCACCAGTGAATGTGAGAAATCACTGCACCATTGAACAGTGAACAGTGAAGGTGACAAACCACTACAGCAGTGAATGTGAGCTGGAGGTAAGCAGCTGGAGGTATTCATTGCACAAGCCACCAATGGAGGTGAGCAATTGTCATGTAATTCATGGTGCAAGGCATAATTCATATAGATGAAGAACAAATATATCAAAACATCAAAACAACTACTGCTATGATGAAAAACTAAAGCAAACTAGCTCCCAAAGCCAGGTTTCAAACCGATTGTTCAAAGTTCCCATCATGGTGAATACACTGGTGTAGGTACCATTACAAGTGCATCATAAAATGAAAATAATATGGCACAGAGATTTACTCCAAGTTGCATCAACAATATGTCTTCATTGCCCACTGTGATGCTATCAAAACATGCTTAGTTCTATGCCTGATGCTAGCCAAAACACTTTTGGGAGGCCAGCTTTAACTATGACATAATTTTCATAAGCAATTGGCTCATTACAAGTTAACACAGATTGATTTCACAAATGTGTTATCAGTAAATGCATATCTATGCATAAGAAATGAAATAAACCATTGCAACCCAATATCTTGCCAGAGTCAGATCAAAATTATAAATAGCTTAAATAACTGTCAAATGTTTGTTCCATAAATCTCAATCCTTTAAGCTATAAACAAGGAACCATATCACAAGCCAAACAAAGCTCCCTAAATATTTGTCTCTCCCAGTCTTAATCTTTTGTTGGTCCAACAAAAACACATCTTGTTTGTTCAGCCATAACATAACCAAATAAGCTTCAGTGATTTTTTTTAAAGCAACAAACTATGAACTATGAAGCAGATGTATGGGTCTCACGGCTCCATAAAACAAGCCTATCAAAGTTATGAAGGGATAATAAAAACTAGTTTCAACAGAATCTGTAATTGAAAGAGGTCATCGTCATACCTATTCCAACAATTTTGTTCACAGAAAAAATAGCAGCACACAGCTCATCAGAACTTTCATGTAAGTCTGGTTGATACACATGCAAAAGGTCGAAGGACAAGGGTCAAGGTCACTCTAAGCAAATGCTTGCCTTCAATCTAACATTAATAAATGCATTATCAAACCTGATAGGATCTATTTTAAAAATGCATGATCATTTCCTTTGTTTAAAACCTTATGATTAATTGCTGATGCTGTGCAGCATTAAATTCGAATTGAAGTGTTAATTTATCACATGCCTTGACCCTGAAAGCAGACATAAGGCACAATTGATTTGACCAATGCCTAACCTAGGATTTATAATGCATCACTAAACTATGATACCTACTGCAAATCAGCTAAAATATTTACCACCCTGTAGCATGCAAGTAATTCACAGACACTCTCGGAGTGCTGGGCGGTGTTTCACGGGCTGCTGCTACCACGCTGCTATCAAATTGCGCGAGCTGACGTCACACTTGTGGTAGTGTTGGAGCAATGGGCCTGTTGATGTCTCCATGGAAACCCAATTTGACAAGTCGTAAAATCGGCGTGCTGCTATCACCGGTGAAACAGGGCCCAGGATTACAAAGGTCGTATTTTTACTCAAGCATTTAAATATTGATGACTGGGTACGCCTATGAACAAATACCCATTTAAAATCAAGTCAGCAGCCGATCAATCACAAACCTGCAACGTACCATATTTCTGGGATCATTCTTGGGAGTCTCTCGGGCATCAGTTTCCATTACAGAGCGAACGCGGAAGCAGTCCGAATGCCCATGCACCTTGGGCGCAACTCTTATAAATTGTTGCAATTATCACTTGTTTCTTCAAGGGGCTACTATATTTCTCAAACTTTTTGTACTGAACTATTCAAGAAGTTTCGTGTCTTGTTAATGATGTAGTCCACAATTCACGAAATTACCTAAAATATAACAATAACACCCAGGAGAAACCGTAACAAACGCGAACGAAAAGGGAAGGCGACCTCTTTTTCGAGTGACGTCACGTAAGCTGTCGGACTCGCCAAGCTTCTGATAAAAGTTTCCATGCATTTTGCCGGTGAAATGACGTCATAAACAAAGTTTTATTATATATACCACTATTTAGAGTTGAAGTAGAAAAAACTAACGTTATTTTCTAGTTAAAATGAATACTTTTTAACTTTCATGAGCATATATTTAGACATTCAGCATATTTACGTCTGGACAACGAGTTGCGGGGAAAAGTGCTGCTTTTGTTGCAGTTTTAGGAGCCGGTAATTAGGCTGGATTTTGGGGTTACTTTTTCGTTCTGATTCATGTATTTCGTAGTGTTTGGCTTTTGAATATTTTAGTTCTTTCAGATAAATATTAATCACCTTACAACTTTTGTAAAAACGTTTCATTTTTTATAAGCCGACATTCAGAGTCCTAAAAATACATCAGCACTACAATCATTGTAAACAAACAAATGGAGCACCACTTGGCTCTGTTCCAAGGCGCTTTTTAAGTTTATCTGGTTGTTTCCGTACTCTTGTACGTCGTTTTGTTGGATGTTTTGAATCCTTTAAGATTGACTTATATCATATTTAAAAAGCATGTGATTGAAAACAATCCGAAGTATCCAGGAAGCTGACAGAGGTCCTGACTCCTGAACAATATCAATATCAAGTTGAACTTGAAGTTATGAAATTTTGGTTGATAAACACAAGTTGATCGGGCTCATATATCAGCAAGAAAAAGTAAAATTAAAAGAGCTTATTGGCCGAAAACAAGCTATGATATTGCAGATCTTGGAGCAATACTGAAGAGCGCGCTGAGCAGGATCATGCCAGAAAATGTTGTCTGATGAGCGCATATTGATGTATTGGATTGGTATGAATATTGAATGATAACTTACAACAGCAAGATAAATTAGTGCTAACTATCAAGTTAAAAATCTAGAATGAATGGACTTTGGCAGCTTTACTATGCTTAGATGCTATGCACTGCAGATTGTAATATGTGCATCAGGTACTCAGTGTCTGGCAAATGAAACATGCAGTCATTCCATTGCTACTGGAGGAGAAAGCTTGGATCACTAAATCCACTTTATGTTGATTTTGAGGTTAATCATTACTGTATTTCTTGAAAAAAGGATTGTTATAAAATTGTCAATGTGACAATCCATGCAACGGTGTGATCATATAATGTGTTCATAGTCATTCGTGATATGTGATTGTTGGTCCAATATACAATGGCAAAGCTCTCAGTTTCAGCGTTTCTGCCTGTGGCTGGCCAGCAGTGACTCAGAGCTTAGAACTTAGAAGTATTAGTTTTCTTCACAGGGCTGGGATAAAAAGTACTGAGGGTAATCTTCCACCAAGGAACTCTACTTTGACATGGTATGACATGTAGGCACAAGTAGGTAGGTGCTTAGTTCCTATAGTCAGCAGTTATGTAGGTTTAGTCGGGTTAGCTTAGATTAGGATGTTAGTTTTTTAGGTTGCCAAGTGTCCATAAAAATGTGACCTGAGCAATGAGCATACCTGAATAACCTGACAGCTGACCTAACCTCAATCATCACACATATTTGCAGCCTGGCCAAGACCTGCATAGCAGTAGCACCCAGTTATAGGTAGGTACTCACCCTAACTCAATCTTACCTGCTAACCTTCAACTTGCCAATAGTTAGCTCACCTTGCCAAGCTGCATCCAGGGAAACAGTCAACTGAGGAACTGGCTCATTGGGTGGCTGGTGTGAGTCTGTGCATTTAAAGTGTTTCTTCTCTGAAGCTGCTCTGCAAGCTGCTGTATGTCATGTTAGATGCTCAGAAAATGTGGGAAATGATTACTAAGCTACTTTAGTGCTTTGTTAATGCTCGAGACATGAACAAGTACAGATCCTGCAACGTACAGCTATGAGTTAGGTGCTAGGTGAGTATGTTATGTGAATGTGCTGTTCCCTGTTTGACCATAGTAAGTATACAAACAAGCACAGGGTCACAGTTATATTCAATCTCCACATAAACATACAACAAAAACGGCCATATAGCCTCACTCCGAACACACCACAAAGAACTTAAGCCTTTGCAAGCACAAAAATGCTTTGATTTACAGGACAGGTACACAATATATCCTCTGTCCTTGGGGATCTTGCTGCCAAGTGGAGGTACGATGACTGAACTTCAGGATTGATCAACCTTTTCTTCTTAGCCACTGCTTATATACGAGAAAGACCAAATGCTTGTTTGTAAACTGCCTTGAAAATTTAACATGTCGACAAATAAAATAGTTCCCTCTCCTTTTGGAATACACAAAGCAAAATATTTAAAAACTTCTAGTGGATGGACAAAAGCAGTTAGCATAGCTTCCCCTCAAGTCAATTTCTGACACTGATGAATTACACTGACGCTTATTCGCTTCATATTTTGTAACAAACGCGCTAAAACTGCAATATAACAACACTATATGCTTCTTGACAAAATGCAAAAGTAGTAAAAATTTAGCCCTGATGGCATTCATTCTTGCTGGAAACGTAATCACAAAACATTTTGTAGTAACTATTAAATTCCGGCCGAAAACAGTGCACGGTTTAAAAAAGAATCATTCCAATGACGGTCCATTCTGGCGGTCCTGAAATCGCCACTATTTCCGGCCTCTCCAACGCAACTCGTTGTCCAGACGTAAATATGCAGACATTCATACCTCTTTTTTTTTTTTTTTTTTTTTTTTTTTTTAGTGGCCCTAACTTACGTTACCGGCCTCGCGAGGAGGGCGGCGACCTAACTACGCCGCGCAAAACAAACCGGCCGTCCTAACTAAGACCGGTGGCCACTTTTACACAGCAAGACAACATGGGAAAACCCATATCCATGTACTATGCCATGAATATGGGAAAAAACCCATGAATTTACGTTAAGACACATAAATGACAGTGAAACTTACCGGTAAATTGATGTTTGTGAAGGGAGGGAAGGAGGAGGTTTGTGAATGGTAAGGTTACGAGAGTTGGATGACAGGAATGGTTTGAAGAGTGGGGGATATGTCGCTGGGAGGGATGGGGTTTGTGAATGTTTAAGCGTCACGATGAAAGGAATGGTTTGGAGGATGGGGAATCTGTCGCTGCTGCAGTTGGCGGCCGACGGTTTTCTGTGGACTGTGGTCGTTCAACCCGGCCGCCGCCGCTGTTCAGCGGCCGGGGTCCGCTGGTGTAGCTCGCTGGGCCGCTGAGCCTCTAAGCCTGCTCCAGCGGCAGGAGAAAACCCGTCTGCCACCGAAGCTCTGTGTTTCGGCACCAGCGAAAAACCCGACCCACCCCGTATCACAAGTCAGCCTGGTGGTAGCGAAACGGGCGCCTGCTAACAGTCAAGGCCGTTAAAGTAGCTCTGAGTAGGGTGATGTTAGGACGAAATCAAGTACCAGGTTTGTCAATGTTGTGTCGTCCCCGAGAAGCGTCGGGAGGTCGTTTTTAAGGTGTTGTACCGCAAGATAGTTAGTGATGTGTCTTCGTTCGTGATGCAATGCCGTGCATGCGATCAAAATGTGCTCTACGGAGATGCGTGTGTCACAGGTGTGGCAAATCGGAGGGCCTGTCCTATCAAAAAGGTGGCCATGGGTGAGGCGAGTATGACCACACCTCAATCTGGCCAGGGTCACCTCGCGTATCCTGTCTGGTTGGTTACATGTGACCCATGTTCTAAGTTCTCGTTTGATCGCATACATATGTGCAGCATGATGTTGGTCCCATTTGCGTTGAAGGTACTCGGCGAATTTGATTTTTATCATATGAATAGCGTCCCCTTGGGCCATAGGTTCCACAACTGGATCAGGTCGCATTGCAGCCTCCTTTGCGAGGACATCCGCACGTTCATTTCCTGCAATACCGTAATGACCTGGAACCCAAAGAAGGGTCACATGCTGGCCCTCATTGAGATCTGATGTGATCCTGAGAATATTGTAGATACCGTGGTGGGTAACATTATCGGTCCTTTCCAGTGCTTGAAGAGCGGATTTCGAATCAGTACAAATGGTTGCCCGATCAATCTTTTCTGCCTTGATGTGCTCCATAACTTTTTCGATTGCGTGAACTTCGGCACTAAAGACTGTCGTAAATTCTTGAAGCCGGGTCCCAAACCTAAGCCCAGGGCCGACGGCTGCTGAACCTATCTGATTTTCGTGACATGAGCCATCTGTGAAGAAAAAAGCAGAGTCGCAGTTGAGCTCTACATACTCCTGGAAGAGCATTTGAGCTTCCACCGGAGGTATACTGGTCTTCTTATAATCAAAAAGAAATTCAATGGATAGGTCTTTGAGGAGCCAAAATGGAATCATAGGAGGATTTAGAGTAACTTCAGTGCGCCTAATGTTTAGCAGTTGATGAGCTTGCTCAAGGCACCCGGGTAGAAAGCACGATCTACGCAGTGGGCGTCGGGTTCTTGGTTTCCTCGCCTCCATTGCTGGTACCGCAATGTGATTTCGAACACTTTTTGCTCTGTAGTAATAGCGGAGGAAAAGAAAGACGCGTCGGTCATCAAGTGCTGGAATGACGGTATCTGCACGAAGCGCAAGAACTGGCGATGTGCGAAAAGCCCCAGTTAGAAGTCTCAAGCACGTTGATTGGACGGCTTCTAGACGTTTGCATAAACTGGGCGACAGTGTGCTAAACAGATAACAATTGTACTCAATCGTAGATCTGATTAGCCCAATATACAACATTTGCAATGTTTTCCTGTCCGCACCCCAAGAAAACCCACATATGCATCTTAGGACATTGATTCGTTTAATACAACGTGCTCTTAGGTGCTCAACGTGTTGACGGAAGGTTAGATTAGTATCCAAAATGATCCCTAGAAATTTGTGTGACGTGGAAAAAGGTATTTTAATCCCATCGATGTGTGGGGATCTTTCAAGCGATGGTCGAGGTCCACGTTTGAAGACCATCATGACTGATTTTGGTGCTGACAAAAAGAATCCCCATTTTGTGCACCATTTAACGCAGTGATCAACCACTGTTTGCAATATAGAATAAGCCTGTTTGTAGTTTTTGTGGGATACCCATATTGCTATATCATCAGCAAAAAGCGAATAGCGGACAGAAAATGTTAGAACACGTGGCAGGAGTAGGAGCATATCGTTCAGGGCAATCAAGAACAGCGTAGGTGACAGCACGCTGCCTTGAGGGACGCCATGTTCCATTACAAAGTCGTCAGAAAGTGTCGCTTGGCAACGAACTTTGAAAG